TGTCCTCACCCTCTTAACTGATGCTTTTCTCTGGCTGGAGAATACCCAGTCAAGATTTGGAAAAGAGGAAGAAAGGTAGTTTTCTTGGGCGAGCAGTTCATAGTAAAAGAACGGGGAGAGCTGCAATTGCTGATTTCCATTGTAGTGTAGAATTTCTGAAATCAGTGATGCTTGAATTTGAGTCACCAATGTAGTAACAAGTGCCTATAATGAAGTTCTGGATTTAGTTTAGGCCAACCTATCCCATTTTCTTTGTATTTTACTTTCAAAATGTTAGATTCTTACCTCAGTTCTGCTAAACTAGATGAAAGGCATTATCTTTCAAAGTCCTTCAGAATGTTGAAGTAGAGAGGGGATGGGGTGAAATAGGGAGGTCTAGTGATAGACTTACTTGGCTTGTTCTAAATATTTATCTGATTAATATATCTTTTTGCTCCCTGAGTTTAGTGGCATAATTTACTTGGTGGAGAACTTATTTAGTGCACACCAATCTTGCCTTCTACTACCTTATCTTTTCCTCATCGATTTTGCCTTCTACAATCTTATCATTTCCTCTTACTGTTGATCTATATTTAGATAAATTGACTGACTTCTCTGTTAATGCAAGATCATTTTAAAACCTCCAAACATACCCTCGGCTTTAAGGGAGAGAGTATGCGACTAGAATGAAACCATCGTCTAATGTCCTGTGCTTGATGCCAACAGAAGATTGTTTATTGAAAGAAACATTGAAAACTAATGCATTATTCCCAGCTTGTATTTCACTTGAAAATCTTTTTCTTTTCTAGTGTTCTTTGCTTTGTTCTGTATTTCATATTCTTCATCATCAATGAGAATAAAATTGATCGAATTTGTCTTACAATAATTTAAGCTGCCTGATGAGGTCTTGAATTTTATGATGGAGACGTGCTTATGCTCTGATGCTTTTGCAGATGCTATTGGATACCCAAGCTGTTAAGACTATCCTTCTAGAAATTCCTTCCCTTGGTAGACAGGTGATTTAGCTCATGCAAATGCAAATTTGTAGTCACAACAATTATATTCTGTTTGGGCGCATGTGTCCCCTGTGTTGATTTCTGAATCACATATTTTTATTACTTACTTTTCGGACTTCTATGGCACTGATTTCACTTACTTTACTGGTGACATATTGATGGCCTTCCTCGCACTTCCTTGATTTAGTTTTGAGCAGAGCAATATCTACTGATAATTAAACTTCCCAAAAGAACAAGCTTTTTCATGACTATTGTTTGATATTGGAATCAATCGAATGATGATGATTGGAAAATGAAATGTATTAGTTTTATTGAATTTAGGGAATGACAGATGGCCAGATAGTTACCTTAGTTTGTGCGGTGCAAATCATTAATATGAAGTAGCTACAATAGAGAGGAATTGTCGCATTTTCTGAATTAATCCCAAGATCAAGCAGGAAATGAAAACTGGCTCTGTTGAAATGCTTGGAAGATAATCTAATTTGTGGGCTAGACAAAGGTTACCTGCCTGCAATCTATGATTTTGACGTACTTCCTCTGGTTCTTATTATAAGAGCCCTTTTAGGAGAAATTTTTGGTCCTTTCTCAATGAGTATCAAATACCTTTTTCCACGTATACCCACATTTAATGAGGGTAGTGAGAGAATAGAAATTAATTTAATGTTGGAATTTAGTGTAATTAATGAGAGTAAGATTGGAGATTACTTAATTTTATGACAAATTTATTGCTTTTAACTCTTTTTATTGGTACGTGTGAATTAGTCAATGGATTCTTATTAAAAGGACCCATGGGAGTACTTGGCTTGGCTGTGTTAAATAGTATGGAGCATTGTATTCTTAGTCTTCACACGTGCAGTTATCTTGTGCTTGTCAGGGGCTTGTTAATTGTTCGCTGATCATCCTGACTAACTTTTGATTTTCTGCAACAGACATCAGGTGCTGCTAGCTATTCGAAATTTGAAGTAGTGAGATGAGCAAAGCAGAAGCCCTATTGAAGGTTTGTTATTAGTTAGTTGGAAGATTGGAAGACTATTATTTCATGCACGTCTAGATTCTCTCCCTGATTCAAGGTTGTGTAAATCACTCTGTTTAGGTTATTCTTTCGCCCGTTGATTCTGTAGCAGATACATACCGTGCACTGCTACCTGAGGGTACACCCATGGAGTTTCAGAGAATACTGGAGCTCAAGGTTAGCTCTTCTACTAACATATATTCTATTGCATTATTTCTTTGGCCTGGTCTGAGATGAAAGATTGAGGGGGCCATCATCTTTGAGTAAGTCAAGGTCAAGGACCTGTGATAAGTTACTCTAATTGGGTACATAAACTGCATTTTATATGGCTATATTAAATGCAGGATAAAATGAAATTACAGTGAGCCCACTGCTAAAATTTTTTCTTAATCATAGTTTAACAATTGAGGATATATGCTTTTCATATTCCGGCAATGTTATTGCATTGCAAACTCTTAAAAGTATAACGAGAAGAATAGTCTTGAAAAGAATAAGTATCATAGTGCTCAGAGTCTGTGGCATTAAACATTACTATTTGGTAATTTGGTGTATGTGTTAGTAGATTCAAAGGAATCTCTTGATTAAAAGCTACAACCCTTAACAAAGTTCACTGCTTAGACTGACAAATATTACTACTACTACTACTACTACTAGTTATGTTTAGGAAGTTTATTGAAGTATTGACTGACTGACATTGTAAATTACACTCATTGGTATGATTCTATAGAGCATCAATCCTTTCAAAGGAACATTAAGTCTATTGTACATAAAATTTGAAGTGTCAATGAGCAATTTCAATGAATCCCACGAAACATTTACGATCGAATATGTTCTCACAATCTAATGTGGTTGACTGACCATTCAGCTGTTCAATTGGTTAAATATCTATACTTGATTCATTCTCATCTTCGTCGATGATATTATGATGCAAAGTTTTTTGAGTTTTAGATGTCCAAGATTGTTTTATGCAAGTTATTCATCTCGAGACTCCAGATAACTTTTGTGGCATGGTTTCAGGGACTTAAAAAGGCTGATCAGCAAACCATTCTTGATGACTTCAACAAACATGGGCCTGGAATAAAGCAAACTCAGATTCCACCGGCAGTTTCCCAGGCTGCTCCAGTAGCTCCAGCAGGCCTAGTCCTATTTCTGTTGGACTTATGGCTTCTAGGGAGGATGTGCTTACCAGGGCTGCTGCACTTGGACGAGGAGCTGCCACCACAGGGTTCAAGAGATTCCTTGCTCTAACTGAAGCTGCCAAAGATCGGAAGGATGGACCTTTCCGGAAATTATTTAATGCATAGGGAAGATTGAAGAGATTGTCATGTAAACATTTTCTTTGAAAAAAAATTGGGGTGGAAATCAAACCCCTTTCGTCAGTTATATTGTTCTAGCTTTTTCCCCCTTCACTGATTCTTGATGTAATTCTACTGTCCATATCTATATTTCCTTAGTCTACTGGAAAGCGATTTTGTGGACGGAAAGCCCCATCAAATTGCATATTTTTTGGTGGCTTGTTCAGTAGCTTTCGCCTGTTACGCTATCCTTTGTATTTTTTTGTCGTCATAAATTTTTGCAATTCTGTGTTCTCTTGTTTTTTGTTTTTGGAAGTTGTTTTGAATATGTGCGCAAACTGCACAGTGAGGCTTATCTCGTTTACATTCCCCCCCCCCCAAAAAAAAAAAACACTTCAGGCACTTTAGCATGGCAAGTTGATCCTAAAGACCTAAACATGTAGATTGTTAATTCTGCTCAAAATTTGGAATGAGTTGATTTAAAGTTGTGTTCTAGCTGTTCATAATACGCAATACAGGTTATTAATTGTTCTTGTATATTTCATTTTACTCCCCCTGAGGTGACTTGGAATTCTGTGGACATATTCGTGTATATCGATAAGGGAATTTACTAGTAGTGTTCTTATAGTGAAGTAAAACAACGAATCTCACTCGTAAATTGACGGTTAAAAAGTTACAAATTAGAAAATAAGAATATCAAATCCCTAAAAATCAATATTTTTTACAAGTTAAATGGTTCATTTTCTTTCATTGATTATTACAAAAAATAAAAAAACAAATCTTAGTTGCAAATTAATGATTGCAAAGTTGCAAATTAGGGAATAAGAGTATCAAACCATTAAAAGTCATAATACCTTTGATAAGTCAAATGATTCATTTTCTTTCACAAATCAACGAATCTCACTTGCAAATTAATGGTCACAAAGTTGCAATTAAGGAACATGAGCATCAAACTACTAGAAGTCATGAAAATTATTCCTCCTCCTTCGTAAATAGACAATTCTCACTAGTAAACTAGTAGTGACAAAGTTGTAAATAAGGGAATATATCACATGAGAAGTTATCGTATCCTTAACAACATACATTTTTTTATTTTCTCATAAATAGACGAATATGACTTGCAAATTAGTGGGTCTGAAATTGCAAATTAAGAAAAAGGAGTATCAAGCCGTTTAAAAGACTTTTGATCCTTATTTTGGTAATTTTCAAATTTTATGGCTCTATTATTAAACTAGTTCCCTCCCATCCCCTCTCTTTCCCCCAGTCCAGCATGAGTATAGTTCCCAATAGATTATATGTTATTCACTGCTTTTATTTTACTCTGCCCATTACTTGTTTTAGTTTCAAGTAGCTTCACATAAACATTTTTTTTGGGACCAAATCTTCATATAACGAAAATTAACAATTTATCAAAACATATTCATTTTTTTTCCTTATATAAATGATCAATCATGACAATAATATTGAAAATAGTGTGGCTTCTTGGTAATAAATTCCAAAGTGCTTTTTCTCATTGCCTTTTTTTTTTTGTTGCCAAAAAAAATTGAGGGCCCCAACCAAACAAGTGATAAAATGTGAGAGCGCACCCCTCAGAGAGACCTCGTGATGTGGATTTGAAATTCGGACCGTTGTGCAGTGCCAACGATAGCACAACGGTTAGTTTTCCTTCCTCTAGGACACGACCTTCACTCGTCCTCCCCCTCCGCCATTCCATCGTCGCTCACACCTTCTCTTCTTCCGAGATAGGTTGGCTTTCCTCTGAATTTGAGACTTCAAACTTCAATCCCTCCGTTTCCCACTTCCCTCCTCTGAAGAATATACTCCAAACGGAGTGAGAGAGAGACTCGGCGATGCCAAATCAATTCTCAAACCGGAACTTCGATTTGGTAATTCTTCAGTTTTCTTACGCTTTCTCTGTGAATTCCCGTCAAATTCTGGGAGAATTGAATTGTCGTAGATAAACTTACTCATCTAAGGCTATTTTCCATTTTTTCGTCAATAGGGAAAGTGAATTGAATGTTTGGCTGTGCAAAAATTCTTCGAAGATGATTCAAGAACATAAGCAGCTCAAAGTTACAGAGAAGTCCAATTCCGCGATGGACATGGTTACGGATGTTGCGGCTCCTCCTCCACCTCCTCTTCCTCCGCCGCCGCCCTCGCCCTCTCATCAACGGCGGCCTAGGGTGAGGGAAGTGAGTTCTAGATTTATGTCTCCTGTGGTATCTTCTGTACAGAGGCGGCCACGGCAGCAGCAATCCGAAGTAGATCCCTTGAGTACTGCTGATGTGAACCGACCTATAGAAAATTCGGAAACTCCATTTCCTTTTGGATCTCAGTGTAAATCAAATGTAGTAAATACGACTGCCACTATACAGAGAAAACAACGAGCTGTGAAACTCTTTAAGGAGAATGGTGGAGGAGGAAGAGTTGAACAGCAACCTCCTCACCCTTCAAAGTCCTGTTCTGGGAGGATCGGAAATGGTTTTACCTCACCCTCCTTGAGACCGGACACTCCAACAGTAACTGTATCCTCAAGATACAGACTCACTTCGCATCAGCGTTCTGCTAGTATGAATGCCACAGCTGCTTCAAAACTATTGCAAGCAAGTGGGATGTCATCGGGAAGTCAATCTTCCACTGCAAATTCATTTAAGGGCAACATTGGTTCGCCCCAAAGGGAAACCAATTCAGTGTCTGGGGATACTTCTTCGGTATGCTCTGATGACGAAAATCATAGCAACTCGGAGGTCAACTGCAGCATACAGTCACTTCCAGAATTTCGGTCGTCTGTGCTGGAGGGAGAAATGTTGCCTGCTGTGTCTACTAGATCAGTGGATGAGAAAACTGGCAATAAGGGTGCTGTAAGAAGTAGTGGGGACAGTTTGAAATTCCCCACAACACCTTTCTCACGTTCTCTTAACCCGTCATTATCAGGCAGTGAGCATTTACTAAATCATTCCATAAGGGGCAGTGAGAAACATGTGACTTCTCTTGTCAAGCAGTATGCAAATTCTGCAAAAGTTGGAGGTCTTTGTTTGCCCCCAGTAGCTCCGTGTCCAAAACCGGGGGTAGATATAAAGAAAAGTAAAAAAGGTTCCAATCATCAGGAAATCGTGCATAGCCTGAGATTGCTATATAATCGTTATCTGCAATGGAGATTTGCCAATGCAAAAGCAGAATCCTCATTGAAAGCTCAGCAAGGAGAAAGTGAGGTGTGTAGCCTATGTTTCTTACCTAATAACAAGTTCATAGCTTAAGAGAAAACCTTTATTATTTGTGTGGGTAGTTCTAAACTTCTAGTGCTGTTGATTGAAGGAGAATTTAGCAGACATGATTTGATGATTGGCAAGATGTGGGTCTATAGTTTGTTTAAGCTATAGAACCTCATTACAGGAAAGGCTAAAGGCCTAAATGATATAGATTATAGTCTGAAAGGAAATTTTGTAATTTCCAGCAATCTCATGAAAGACGTGGCACAATGAATAAATCCGTGACATATGATCTATTGACAAATTTTTTTCCACAGCTCATTTTAATTTTAGTTTATGTTGAGTCTTTTACTTAAAGTATAATTTTATGGCATAAGTACTGAGAACTTTTATACATGAAGGTATTATTGTGATTAACTATCCAGATTTTTGTTGCTTAACCATCTGGATTTCACTCTACGTGCATAATATGCACTTGATCTTTTAATCAGTCTGATTTAGATTACAAGTCCTTTTATCCCATCTTTGGCATTTTGCTCACTTTTCTCTGGTTGCTTTCCCCTTCCATGTTTGGTAATTCTTGCAGAAAGCACTTTATTCTCTGGCATTGAAAATGTCAGAGTTACGTGATTCTGTGAACTTGAAACGCTTAGAAGTGCAGCTTTTGCAGAGAGCAAAGACTTTGTTAACAATTCTTGAAGCTCAAGTAAGACTTCCGATGCAATTTTTTTTTGTTTTTGTTGTGCATCTAATTTGTGCATAGGGCATTGCCTTTTTGTTTTTTTGTTTTTTGTGCATATGCTTTTGCACTGGAAATTACATTACTCATGGCAGTATCAATACTAGAGTAAATTTTGTTTTTGCACATAATCCTAAGCAACTAATGTCTTCTAAAGGATGCATAAGATGCAGCTTATCCTGAGGCCTCTGCTGATGTCCGTAGAGGGTCTAGATCCTCTCAGAAGCCTTCTTTCTCCTTTTTTTCCCTCAGAATTTGATCTCCACCTTTGGATCAAATAATGAATAGTTCAGATTTCATACTTTATAGAACTATTATTATAACATTGCATAAATAGGAGAGGGAAGGTGGACCTCTGCTTTTTAAAATATTAAATCTGAACCATCTATTATTTAATCCAACGTTGGAGATGAGATTCTGAGAAGAAAAGGAGAAAGAAGGATTCTGAGAGGATCCAGATCCGTCTGTAGAGCACAAACTGTTAATACCATGTACTTGGTGTTTAATTTGTGGATAAGACGATGCTAGTTTTTTTTTTTTTTGGGTACAAAGAAGATGATTCTATATTTTGTTCACGATAAAAATACTTCTGGGAATTATTATTACTTATTGTGGTATTACTACTTAAGTCTATAACCTTTTTCTTTGAACGTCATTTTAAGAAACTAATATCCTCTAAAGCTATCTCTTTGAAGAGTAGGGCCAAGTTAATTGTCTAATACATTTATCATGTCTGTGACTGTAATTTTAAGAAACTAGCATCCTCTAAAGCATGCCTCTTTGAAGAGTAGGGCCACGTTAATTCTCTAAAACATATATTATGTCTCATATTTTGTTTTCTTTGTCATGATTAGAGTGCGTTCTTGTTTTAGTTTCTTCCACTCCTCCCTTTTTCATTTGCTTTTTCTTAATCAAATTTAATCTTCTGTTTTGTTTCTTCAAGAATTCACATTTTATTTGACATAACGATGTCTATTTCTTTCCTCCAAGCATGGTTTTCCATTTATTTGTTTAAAATAAATTATTCCTTGATCATTCTTTTGGTCTTGTTAACTTTTTTTCCACTAATCGTATCACAGATCCCTCATTTGGATGAGTGGTCCTCTTTAGAAGTAGAGTATTCTATCTCCTTGACTGAAGCAATCGAGGCATTGTTGAATGCCTCAGTGCAACTTCCAGTAGGTGGGAATGTGAAGGTATGATTAGGAATCCTCTTCTTTTCTCTATTATCCATTCACACCTTTTTCTGGGTCTCTGATATTGGATTTTATGCGTTCTGCGTGCTGCAAGTTTTACTTACCTACAAAATATTCATTCCACAGGTTGATGCAAGGGAGGTGGGGGAGGCGATAAACTCAGCCATGAAGATGATGGAATCAATTGTTTTCCATGTCCAAAGATTTACATCAAAGGTGCGTAAAGACAGTTGCTATTAAAATTACAAGAAAATACACAGTTTTCTCAAACTATTTGCTAACGTCTTTTTTGTTGTTAGCTGAGGTTGAAAAGTATGTATCACAATCTTGTGTATTACAAGCACAATTTTGAATAAAACAAAACAAAACAGAAAGTTTATTCTATCAAATCCAGCTAGCTTATGCTGGAAAAATGGACGCAAGTAGATGTATTTTGCATTTTTACTTGTACTTTGTTGATTGTATTTTTAGACATTGCACTGATAAAAGCCTGTCAAACTTAGGTTGAAGAAACGGACATATCTATTTCAGAATTAGCCGGGGTTGTTGGTGGAGAAAGAGCTTTTATTGGAGAATGTGGAAGTTTATTGGCAAGGGCATATAAATCACAGGTTTGTTTCCTGCTGAAACCAGTCATGCTGGCATATTCCTATGATAGAGACCTCTACGGCGTATCTATTTATATCATAAATGTTTAGAAACTTCTCAAAGTGGAACTTTTAAACAATTGGAAGTTTATCCGGGAGGCGGTGATTATTTCATATTAACTTGGGGAATTTGTGAGTTTTACAATCATCTATTACCTTTGGGAGTTTATTTCATATAGAAAGATACAGGAGGAATGTTCGCACATGGCTACCACATTTATCAGTTTTCTTCTGAATTTAAAATAAATATGGCCTGCTTTTCAGGTGGAAGAGTGCAGTTTGAGGAGCCAACTTATGCAAATCCATTCAACCGACCACAAAGCTAAAACAGTAGAATTATAAGCACAAGATATTTTCATTCTTGGTCCATGCTGTGGTTGTCCTTGCGATGCTGCTATTCTACTTATTCAACATGACATCCACCGAGAGAAAGTAATCACAGCTGAATTGTGGTCTGTGCATATATATGATGCTGATTTGTTCATAGCTGAAGAGACGGAATCAACAGTACAAGAAGCCATATGGATCTATTTCTCTGTTTTGTGTTTGGAGATGATCCATTCACTCATTTGTGGATAAGTGAGATATGTTTGAGCTGTGTTTATAGTTGCAATGCATGTGTAGAGCTCGGTCAATGGCCATCTCTTTCCTTGTCTCACTTATCAGATGGCAATAAAAGTGAAATGACATGTATACAAATTTTGTCATCTATTCAATCGGAATCTACTTGGATTTTATTTTTTTGCGTTGCTTTCTTAAGAATATCCTTATTCTTGGCTTTTTTATTTGTTTTTTTTTTTTTTTGCCAACTAGCTATTTTATTTGTTAATTATTTTGAATAAAATACATTGACATCTCTTTAGGTAGCTAAAATTATAGGAATCTCTCATCTGTTTTCGAAATCTATACTTAATTCTAATTTTTAACATCATTAAAAATATTAAATTGAAAATTGAAAATCTATACTTAATAGTTAGGTATACTAATGTTTAAACAAACTTCTTAAAAACATTAAATTGAAAATTAGTAAGAGTTATAATGGAATTGAAAATATGTCAAATTGAAAGTTGTTATGGAAATAAAGGAAATGTAGGAGATTGAGAAGTGGGGGATGGAGAATACAAGAGAGAATTGGGGGGAGAATATGAAGTAATCTTTTATTCACTTCAAGCTTCCAATCACCTGGTACATGCCTATTATTTATAAGTCATAAGTCCTTAAATTCTATTTCAAGAGTTATAACAAGAAATAAATCTAAATAATTATAGGATATATAATATTTGGAAGTTATGAGTATTTAATCATAGAAAACTCCCAAAAAAAGTCATTTATTTGTAGGTTAATATGACTTTTAAGGGTAAAATCCCAAAAGACAACTTTTTGAAAGTCATAGACGTCCACAGTTAATATTACAATATTTATAAGACTCCTTTTTGAATGTTCATGAATAAATAATGTGCCTCATTAAAACCTTACTAGGAAAACTAAACGGGACAAAAATCTACTGAAAGAAAAAGAATACATCATACATGTTGAATTTGCCTCATTAAAAACCAGGAAAACTCTGCGGGACAAAACCTTGGTTAAGAAAAAGAGTACAGCATTTATTTTTCCCGCTCAGTGAAAATATCACTTTTACTCCCACTAATGATAATATAACTTTTAACATTTCATCTCAATAGAATATACTGATTTCTTAAGTGGATTATTTTTAATGTTTTTTTGAGCATATCTTCTTTTTAGCCAAACTATGCATACTGTATTGTCATTGATATACTTTCCACTTGCATTGTATATTGTGAAAATAACAAACGAAAAGTTGTCTTGAAAATCACCATGAGATGATATATCTTACATCCTCATGATTAATTTATTTTGAACTTTTTAAATCTCAAATACATTATACATCGACTTGCATATAGGCAGAAACTTAATCACAACATGCAATATCAACAAAATATTTAAATATAATCATAAAATAAATATATAAGACTTCAAGTTCATAAAATACAATATCTTTTCATGGACAAAATCATCATAGCAAAAACTGATTATTTAGAAATTACTTACACATTCAACAAATTGATCTGGTACTCAAGTTACATTCAAAATTGTTCATCCGTTTTTTTTTTTTTAGTCAAATATGTATACCCATATTATAACATTTTATATATTGAGTGATTTTCTTGTATATGCTTTTGACATTGTAAATCCTTCAAAAATTCGTATGTAAATTCCATGATATAGAGAGACACATGTATAGGCTATAACAATATCCAACATATGGATATTTGTTTTTCTTTTCTTGCTAGATAAATAATATATGTAAAAATAGTTACCTCCACCACAAAATTTGTCTCACCATACTCATTACAAGGCCTTTGTGAAAATTTTCATTTTCACATAACTGTTCACATATCCCATAAAAACTTTATATTCTATGTGTCTGGACTACACATCTATAATTTTCATGTATTGAAAGAACATAATCATATTTTCGTTGCGTCTTCTCTTTTTTAATTTTTTGCCAAATTTTTATTTCTTTTGCATGACAGACTTACATATAATATCCTCTTTTATTTTGATCATGTGATGTTACTAAAAACATTGTCAATAACTTTATCTGCTTTGCACGCCTCCTTTCAATCTCTTGTATTTCCTTTATTTTCATAACAAAAGTTAAGAAGTTGAAATATATTGAAAATCCTACCAAATAACGATGATAAATCTCTATTTTAATATGTTATTTGATATCTTTTTGGGAATATTTATTAGTTCAAGTGGGATAATTTGCTTTTATTATTATGGCTATTTTGAATTAAATATTGATTACATGAAATTACAGTTTTAAAAGGGAATTTTATCATATTTGTGTCTCCTCTTAAATAATTGATTTTGGGCTGTATAATATTATTTCAATTTATTTTTTATAGGCTTTAGAAAAGAAAAATAAATAAAAGAAAAGCTGAAAGAAAAAATTGAAAAAAAATAAAATAAAGACGCAAGCCCACCTTCTTGGACAATGGACATCAAGGCATTTGGTTATTATGATATACTACCTCCGTTACTTAATATAAGATCTTATTTGACTTTTATTTTGATCCTAAATAGAAGACTTCAATTTATTTTGTCTTTCATATTTATCTATTTTTTTCTAAGATAGTCCTTCTAATAATGGTAATTCTAACCAATACACTTGATTAATAAGGATATTTTAGAAAAAACAACATCTATTTATTGCAAATAACTAACTTAACTTATTTTTTTAATCTTCTCAAATTAGTCAACTAAATCTTATAATTAAAATGAGAGGGGAGTATAAATACATGTGTGTGTATTGATTCATCAAGGGAGAAAACACAAGCCGCCGCATACTCCAGATTCTCATCTCCAATTTTCATCTTTTTCCTTCGGCCAATAACGCGACTTCACTCTTCTCTACCTCCAGAGCCAGCGACGCCATTAAACTCTGTTGTTCCTTGGTTTTCTGCAACTAATCCTCCATACCCACCCTTCCTCCACGGTCTCCATAGGTTCTTATTGCTTCAAACATGTTGTGATGCTTCTAGAGCCATAAAAAGCCAGTTTCATTGCCTTTCTTAGGGTCCATTTGGATTAGTAATTGAAAAAGTAGCTTATTATCAATTTGACTTTTGAAAAAATAAAGTTGGATAAAAATTAAATTTGATAAGTCAAATTGTATTTAGATTAGGGTTTAGAAAAGTTAGTTAGTAAAAGTAAAATTGGTAAAAAGTTGTTTGGATTATGATTGAGTAAAAGTAAGTTTGTTTTTAAAATTACTAAAATAGATATGAGTTTTAATAAATAATGAAATATGATTAAAAAATAATTTTACATAATATTATAAATTTAAATTAATCTAATATGAAGAAATGAAATTTAATGAGTGAATTAAATTTTAAAACTTTAAAGAAATTATAAAAAATCATATAATTGATTTGTATTAAAAAGAAAAAGAAAGTAACTAATCGATGCGGGTTGGAAAAAGTGGGGGAAGGATGCAGTGATGCTACGCGTGAGAGAGAGAGAAATTATTTTTATTGCAGATAAGCTACGCTAGTTTCAGAAGCTTATTACAGATAAGCTATATTGGGCTTAAGTCCTTCCAAACAGGATAGAGATTTTCAATCGGGCTTCTGCCCAAAATAAGCTGCTTTTCATCTTTAAAAAGCCCAACCAAACAGGCACTTAGACATAGAGAAGTAGTCCGCGCTTGGAGCTCGAACGAGGAGAATATTTGCTTCTACAATTAATTTTCTCTTAGATTTTATTAGATTTTTTTTGTGTTAAGAACATTTTTATTTGAGTTGGAGATTGAGGGGGTGTTTGGCTTTTTTTCCAAACCATGATTTGGAAAAAAATCTGCCAAACACCCCTTTTTTTTAAAAAAAACCAAGGTTTCTGGCAAAACCTTGGTTTTGGCCAAGAAAACCTTAGTTTGGGAACAAGCATGCGGGGGTCACTTTTTGAGGGAGAAAAACTGGTTGTTGGCTTCATTATTACTCTTGTCAATGGTTCCAACGATACACAAGCAGCAATTCTGTTTTCCCATCCATTCTAAGAAATAATCATATTTTTTGTTGGCAAAATAAATTATTTTACAAGAAAATATTTAATTATTTTATTAATATATATATGCATTAATTTTTTTATTTATATTATTTATCTCTTATTTATTATGTTGCCAAAATATATATTATTAACAAATTTATTACTTCAAATAAACATATATTATGAAATATATCTTATATGTAATTATCATTTACACTTATGTTCTTTTTAGTAATTTCTACATATAAAAAAGCACTTCTGACAATAACTATCCAAACACTCTCACTTTATCAAAATCATTTTTTCAGAAAATCTATTCTTTCAAAATCTATTCTCTCCAAAATCTATTCTCCAGAAGTTATTCTCCAAACTATGGTTTGGCTTCATCCAAACACCCCCTGAGATTATGTGTTATAATTTCTATTAATTGGATTTTTTTCAATTTGAATTGAGTTGTATGACTTGAGATTTAAATTTGTTATATTTCTTTTGTATTCATTGAAATTATTTTATCTGGCGTGTTGTTAGATTTTATAATTGAGATATATTGTAATTGAGTGTCTCCGTAGGCATTCTTTAAGAGGAAAACAAGTTTTATTAATTCAATTTAAATTACACATCAAGTGATTTTTAAAGATGCCTTAATAATTTGATTTCTATATAGCGTTTAGAGTAGTCAACTATTAAATTTACTTGACTCAAACCGTGTTCGGGTTTGCTTTTTAACTTAATGCATTTCTTTTAAACTCTCAAATTTTTATTAAGTAAGGATAGCTACATTCTGTTTTTAAGAAACATTCTCATCACTGATTCCTTAAAATCCAAACCTACATTTTTTATTATCTCTTTTTATTAAAAATACCAAAAAATAGTTTAGATTTATTTCTTTATTTTCTTAATCAGTTTTATAAAAGAAAAAAAAATTCCTTTTCAAACCCTCTCTTTTTTAATGTTTTTATCACTTAGTTAACTTAAAAATTAATAAAAAGCTCCTCAAGAAACATGACCCGACTTTTGCTTTACTATATAATTTAGTTTTATTTTTTATTTAACTCAGGACAATGAAAAGTTGATATGATATATCTTACATCCACACAATCAATTTATTTTGAACTTTTTAAATCTCAATCACATTATATATGGACTTGCATAGAGGCGGGAACTTAATCACAACATGTAGTATCAACACAATATTTAAATATAATTAGAAAATAAATATATAGTACTTCAAGTCCATTAAATTCAATATCTTTTCGTGAACAAAATCATCATGGCAAAAACTTATCATTTAGAAATTATTGACACATTCAAATCTCCCAGTCAAGTTAAATGCAAAACTGTTCATTCTTTTGTTTTTTTAAGTCAAATATGTATACTCATTATAACATTTTATATATTGAGTGATTTTTTTGTATATGTTTCTGATATTTTAAATCATTCAAACATTCTTATGTGAATTCCATGATATAGAGAGATACATGTATAGGCTATAATAATATCTAACATATAGATATTTGTTTTTCTTTTCTTGCTAGACTAGTAATATATGTAAAAAGTAGTTATCTCTACCACAAAATAATATGTCTCACCATGTCTCACCATAATCACATAAATGTTCACATATCCCATAAAAACTTTATATTCTATATGCGTGTCTGGACTGCACATGCATAATTTTAATATATTGAAGAAATAAATCATATTTTCATTACGTCTTTTCTCTTTTAGTTTTTGGCCAAATTTTTATTTGCTTCGCATGAAATACTTATGTATAAAATCCTCTTTTTGATCACATGATATTATTAAAAACGTTATAGATAACTTCATCTACTCTGCATGCCTCCTCTCAATCTCTTGTATTTTCTTTATTTTCACAACAAAAGTTAAGAAGTTGAAATATATTGAAAATCCTACCAAATTAAGGTGGGATATTTTAATAAAACAACAAAAAGGTCATAATGAGTCAACTGTAAACTAATAGTTGAATAGTTTTTTTTTTTAATAAAAAGACAATTTTCATTCAACATAAGTAAAACAATTACATAAAAAGGTTAGCCAGTCACATTTAGTTAATTTGAGCAAAGTCTAAATAAACTAAAAGAGATGGCCAGCCCAGAGCATCAGAAACATGAAAGGAACAAACAAAGAAACGAGCAAGAGAGGGCGGGGGGAACAAAGAGCAAAAAAATATAACAGACTCGTACATCAACATGTCCCGTTTGCAAGAAAAGTTCCAACTAAACAACGAGTTGCAATTGACACCAGCTAAGATAACGCCATCCACAACACTTCAGAGAGTTATGATGACCATAAGCATCCTTTGCACTTGCTATTGTGCGGAGCAGTAGCCACCGAATTATGCCACCAAGAGCTGAGGCGTGGTACCCTATGGGGTATTGAAAAAGTCCCTAGCAACATACACCAGATAGCAAGGATTTGGCATGAAAGCCAATAAAAAGAGGTCTCTTTGAGCATGGAGCAAAACTAGCGCTTGGGCAATTAGCTGACCAGGTATAATGAAGAAGCAACATCCACAGGAACTTTCAGGGACAAAAACTGAACAGAAGCAACAACCAACTTGACTGAAAAAACAAGATAAAATAGAGATTAAACATATAGCATTCCAGAGCCAAGGAGTTCCCATAAGGACTGAGCTGTCAAACAATTGAAGCAGCGGATTGAGATTGGCTAAGAATCCTAAATTGGGTTTCTTGCTCAAGAGCCAACAAGTCAGTATCAAATCAAAAGGATTCTAAGATAAGAGAAGGCAAAAAAGCTTTCCTGGATAAAAATCTTCATGTCTACTAAATAAGACCATAACACTAGCACCAACTTTGGCTTCCCCTATATCTACAAACCATGAGGATAAGAAGCAAGTCTTGAAGTTGTGCATGGAGCAGCGCCCCTCATTTTGCATATCATCACTTAAAATCGGCCCCCTAATATTTAAGGAAGATGTTTAGTTGATAATTTCTTCTCCTATACTTTTCCTTTTCGGCTTCTTAGCATCAGAACTTTGCTCTTCCCCAATCTCTTCTTCAACTCGACATCATTTGAAAGAATACACCTTAAACGGAAAATCTATATCCATATCCACCGCTTCCGAGGAACTAACCACATGCCTGACTAATCGGCAAAACCTTTTATGGATTATCTTTCTTGATTTCTTCTCCTCCTTCTCCAATAGATCTTGTTGTGCCCATTCCATGGATCTAGACCGTTTTCCTAAAATGGAGGAAGCGAGTAATTGCGGATGGAGAGATGGAGAAAAGAACAGTTGATTCCGCACATACTTGTTGCAAGGAGGACAATGATTGACCGTCGCAAGACATGGCGGCGATTCCTTATTGTAGAATGTGATTTCGATGTAAAATATATAATATTTAATTTAGGGAAATGTTATTAAGAATGTGATTATAATGTAAAACATTTCATAACTTATTAATTCTTGATAAGAATGTTTCATGGTAACTCCATGGGAAATAGCTTTCACCGCTTCAAGAGGCAGTCGTACTCAATAAAATCACACTGTTCCGCAATCTATTTGTGTTATGTTCCTTTATAATGTCAACTTGTGTACTGTTTGGGATTTGGTCACCAATTCAGCATCTTGAAATCCTTCTTGGCTCTATCTGCTTGCTCCATTAACATGTGGCCTGAATCTGTTGCGTGTTGATCATTATCTCTGTCTCTATTTCCTAGACATTTCATCTCCTTCTTGGGTAGTGCCTTTCAATTTGAATAGTAGTAGTTATAACTTGATATTGCTACTTCATATTCCCTTTTTTACGGCTATTCATATAATTTAGTAATTACTAATCAAGAGACCATATCAGTTACCAAATATACATATAACGAATTGCCATCAAACGCAGCATTTTTAGAGCAATGAATTCTTAGCGTTGTATTCTTTTTCTTTTTGTCTATTCTTGTATTTGTTTTGAGTACAGTGGCCATCGATCCAGCAAACATCCTATGTAAATTTCCACACATGGTCCCATCCTTAATGTACGTTTAATCAAGTGATAAGTGTTCCATGTTATGACAAATATATCTTCCAATTCACCACATCTTGTACATGTACGTTATGCATGACAAACATCCTCTGTACATAATTCCACATGTGGTCTAGAAATCGCTCACTAGTCATTATTGTCTAATGGGGTCAAATAGACCCAAAATGTACAACTCCATAAAGCACACAAAGATCACAACCTTACAACTAATCCATATACATAAGAGACACACAAGATTACAATCATATACACCCTGCCAACTATCCTATACAAACCAATCCCATTACAACATAAGAGTACAGATGAATATATATGACATAATATAAATAGACACCAAACACATAAATATACTTAATCCTTAACAGGCGTGATTCTTCATCCTACTGGTAATAACTATGCACTTCATCTATATTACAGGGTACTAGAAGTACTGGAACCTTAGTTGGCATCAGTTTTCCCTTCAACTATCTTAGCAAGAAGAAGAAAGGGATAATAGGAAATATATCGAACGAATGGTATGGTTGAAGGGGATGGCAGCCAAAGAAGGGCATATAAGAACACAACCATGAAGGCCAAAACCACACTCAACACCAAAAAGGTAGTGGCCAACCAGCTAAGTTTGTTGACCACAAGATACACACCTGCCAAAAATGCCAGAGAGAGTGTCGTCAAAGAAATACCTAGAACTGGCATCGCACACTTCAGAGCAAAACGCAGTAAAAGCACATCATCTTTACGAGCCCACAAGAGAATTATAGTTGTAATAATAGCCCCAAAGACGGAGATTGTGAGGGAGAGAATGAACAAATGGAACATCACATGACTCAGCATAACAGCTGTTCCCTTATCTACACCACCCGGCATTGCGAATCCAGCAACAAAGGATGCTGTTATTATAAGAGTTGAAACCAATATCAAAGTGTCAACACTATCTTTATATTTTTTGGTGCTGGCTGGTTCTCTTTCTTCACCATATATTAATTTGTCATTTGAAAGCAATGGCCCAGCAGAACTTCGAGGTCTACTAGCAGATTGCAATGCAATGCATGTAAGTACCTGGAAACAAACATTTTCAAGAAGAATCATGATTTTGAGAAAAGGAATTTTGAAATTGTTAAATTATGAATGGCAACTTGCCTGCGCAAAGGATGGATTTTTGCCATGCTTTAGTTCAGCAATGTCTAGAGCTGTTTGGTCTTCTTGGTTTAGCACAGCGAGATTGACTCTGTTGTCCCAGGTCAATGAATGCACAATTTTGGGATGGCAGTGAAGGGTGGCCAAATGCAAAGGAGTATTCCCATCATTATCTGTCTGGTTTATCATCATCTCATGTTTAGGATGTTGGAGGATGTACCTAACAAGCTCATATTTTCCACTTTTAGCAGCAACGTGAAGCAAAGTTTGGCCATTTTTGTCAAGCAGCTCTGTGGGATCTCGATAGTATTTTAGTAGCTCTTCAACTACTTTGACATGACCTCTAATGCATGCCAAGTGAATAGGGAAGAAGCCATGGTTGTCCCTTTCAATGGTACAGGAAGAACATTTCTTTACTAAGTAGGAAACAGCTCCATGGTACCCTATAAACGCTGCCTGGTGGAGAGCAAGCCTTCCTTCTCCATTTCTTAAGTGTATCCAATTTGGTTTCTTGATCAAAATGGTTTGCAGCATATCTACACAGACAAACAATATAATCAGGACTCATATATTGGCAAATAAAGATACGTATGGCAATATTGCAAGCGTGTGAATGTTTTAGCAATATGTTGAAGAAACGAATAATCCATGAGTCATTAACAATACACTTACCCATATCTCTCTCGGTAAGTGCCGGAAGAAAAGGAGATTTTCCTTGAGGCTTGACGTCATGTTCGATGCAAATATCCAATAGTTGATCAACAACTTACTTACAACCAACCATAGTGGCCACGTACAATAATGATTTCCCTTCCTTGTTGATTGCAAATACTGCTAAATGATTGACAATTTTCTTAAATTCAGCTTCCATCTCTAAACCATCTGTAATGAAAGAATCTTGAAAAGCCCTGAAAATCTTATCCCCATTTTGGGCATTAACCATAAATGCCTCATGAAAGAAAGTGTTTCCTTGTTTGTTTCGCAACAAAGCCAAAGACACCAAGAGCATCATTTGCAAAGTGAATTGATCTTTGGTAGAGGCATGGCCTGCCCTTGCAGCAGCATGCAGTGCAGTGTCATAATTGCTGTTAGTCAATGTAAAAAGATAGGGAGCTTGTTGAGCTATCCTGTCTACAATTGCATTATTTCCATAGGCAGCTGCTAAGTGCAGGACAGTATTCTCCAAAGGGGTGCGTTGTTTATAAATAGCAGGATCAGGTACGATGAAATCTTCGTGTGAAGTGGGAACACTGGAGTCCATGGAAACATATGCAGCTGTAAGCAAATTCAAATCCGTGTTGGGTCCATGTTCTTGTTCACTCAACTCGTGATTCAATATTGATGACGAAATTTCCCTCTCCCTAGAGAGTATTGATGACGAAATTTCCCTAGGACCCTCTCCCTAGAGAGTATTGATGACGAATTTTCCCTCCTCCTAGAGAGTACCGCCACTTGCACTCCAGCTTCTGGCAAGGACATGATTTTCTCGATCGGTGTTTTTTCCTCATCAATATATTCAGTACTCTTTGTCTTGTTTAATTCTGAGTCAAACATTTTTTCTCCCCCTTGGATTCCATCGCATTGCTCGAACACAATAGTCACGCCAGATGTTTCACTTGATGATGCAAAGACATATTTCCTGTCAGGATCTGAATAAGAAAAATTATGATATGTTTGATTGAACCAATGTTTTGAAGCTCATTCAGGTAGCTATACTACCTGTGTTCTTTAATATAAGAACTAGATAACTACTCTGTGCATATAAAAAAATTAGTTAAGTAAGTTGACTTTCTTAAATACCTATATTAATCATGCATGTTGAAACTATTTCTTGATGAAAAGTTCTTAACATGTGTAATCATCATAAGAATTACTTAGGGATAAAATGAATAAATATTAAAAACAAAGTGGATTGGACTCTTATATTAAGAACTAAATTGAATATCCAACTAGCTCTTATATTAATGAATAGAGGCATTAATGGAAAAGGAGAGTGATGAAATTTGGCATACCGTAACATATTTCAGTGTCAGATTCAGATGCACTAGGCCACGAGAAGAAAACATGCCCACGAAAAGAACCTGACACGTGTTTGCTTGACATTATTGTTTAAATCCCAATCAATATTGTTCCCAAGTTATTATTAGTCGTCATGGATAACAAAGCAAGAATATAAGGAATGAAATACATACCCCTATCATTTTCATTCCCAATGATTACCTCCAGCTCGGGTTCCGATCGGTCCTCTTTCATCTCAGGTAGAAGCCAAGTTACTCCATCTTCTCCTCAAACAATAAATAAATTATAAGTTTTAAACTTTCTAGAATAATTTTTGTTCAATACTGTGGATGCCAGATACATAATACTACTCGTATGGAATGAAAATATGTCTGATGAAAGCACGCACACGCGGCGGTGTGATTAATTTAAGCATATAATCATCTTTCATCCAGAGAGAAAATATAAAACATGACCCGTACGTTTTCAATAATATAGGGAGCAACAGCATAAATGATAGAAGAAGAAAAAATTAGAGCCAATTAGGACTTAATTGAGACAGTGTAGCAGCAGCACTATATGGATGAGAAAGAGCTAAGAAATGAACATACTTGCTCATCCTTTTAATGATACTCCTCCTGTCCTTAATATAAGACCCATTTAACTAATTTGATTAAATTAAGAAAGTTAAATAAGTTAGTTAATTATCAGAAATGTGACACGTTTTTCTTAAAATACCATAATCATCTTTCTTAATACTTCATCTTCCTGTTCTACTTGTTATGGTTGAGGGAGTATCTATAAGGGTAATTTAAAAAAAATTAATAAATATGAGAAATGAGTCTTATATTTATGACCAAAACCAACTCAACAATTGGGTCCTGTATTAAGGATCGGAGGAGTACTCCATATGGTGTCTTTATTAACTTCACATTGCACGCACATCACAATGCCTTACAAATTCTTGTACATCTCTCAACAATTTCTCCAAAACAATCATATAAATTAATTGAGGCATAAGTGATAAATTTTTATTTCATATGTGCGTGTATTTCATCCTCCTATTTTAATTTTGTCTTTTAATAAAGATGTCTTGTTGCTGAAACTAAATAAATAAATTATTCTTTTGTCCGGAATATAAGGTAAGATAATTTCTCATATAATAAAAGATGATTTGTTTATAAAACATTCTATTCAACAAATATTATAAGAAATCATAGGAATATATATAGATAGGTGTGTGTGTGTGTTTTATATATAAAGCTATACATATCTTAATGGGTTTATATAATTTTCAGTACCTAAAATTTGATTTCAATTTGGTTTTGGTTCTTGTTTCAGTGACGAAAAATCTTAAAACAGATTAAAATAAAATCAAATTTTAGAGATCAAAATAACTAGTTTTAAATTTCAGAGACTAACATCAAAAAGAGATTAAATTTTAATGACCAAAACCACATAATTTCAAATTTTAGGAGTCAAAACTAAAATGATGTCAAATTTTAGGAACTAAAAATTATATTAACCGTATCTTATTATTATTAGTGGAAAAAAAATAAGCAAAACACACAAAAGATGGTTTAATCTCTTACTACCTCCGGTCCTTAATATAATACCCAATTTAACTTTTAGTTTGGTCCTAATTATAAGACCCCAATCCATTTTGTCTCTCATATTTATGTATTTTTTTTCCAAGATCGTCCTTCTAATAATGATAGTTCTAACCAATACACCTAATTAGTAAGGATATTTTAAGAATGATAACACTTATTTATTACAAATAACTAACTTAACTTACTTCTTTAATCTCCTCAAATTAGTTTACTAGATCTTATAATTAGGACCGGAGGTATTATTTTGCTTATTAATAAGTTGGAGGTTTATAGAGGGAAGGGCTACTCCTCCCTTTTCCCCCAAAAAATGAGGGATTTGAGGGATAAAGAGAGAGTTTGCATTTCAATCATAACAAAACAAAAATTCCTTTCCTCCGATCCATCCAATTGCCCCGGAGAAAGGGAGATCACCACTCTCGAAAACATTTAAATTGCACATCTCTATTTTTTTTTTTTGGGGGCATTAATTGCACATCTGTAGTTGGTTGATATAAAAGAAGCACGTAAAGATAAACATGAAAGAAATTGGGAGGAATCATAAAGTCAAAGCGTTGGCTGGGGAAGGAAACAAGAGTTTGAAGTTCTCACTGCTGCATGGGCCCTGTGATTCCATCTGCAGAAGCGATGATGACCTGGAAGTCTTAGTATATTAAAATAAGCACGTAATGAAGATAGACATGGAAGACACTACTGGCATGGAAGATATACGCACACAAAATGCGTGATCAGAATCGGTGATGAAGCTTCAACGCCGCTTTGCCCCTTCGACCGTTTCCTCACTCTTCCACTTCACTGATCATACATTTAAAACCTTCACACCATTGGTTTCCTTCATTTATAGCAATCAGCTGCCAACTCCTAACCACCTCCTCCGGTCATTGATATATAAAACCTAATCGATTAATTTAAGTAGATTAAAAAAGTTAATTAAGTTAGTTATTTTATAATAAAAAGTTATCTTTCCTAAAATATCCTTGCTGATCATGCATATTAGTTAGAATTACTATTTAATAAAATCTTTAACATGTGGAAGGACTACCTTAAAAAATAGATAAATATATATATATGGATATATTTGAAAATAAAAGTTTCATATTCAAACAAAATTGATAATTTAATTATTGCTACCTCCGATCCTAATTATAAGATCTAGTTAACTAATTTGATGAGATTAAAGAAAGAAGTTAAGTTAGTTATTTGTAATAACTAGATGATATCTTTCCTAAAATATCCTTACTAATCAAGTGTATTGGCTAGAATTACTATTGTTAGAATGATTACCTTGAAAAAAATACATAAATATGAGAGACAAAATGAACTAGGCTCTTATATTTAGGATCAAAATAAAAATAAAATAAAATCTTATATTAAGAACCGGAGAGATGGTATTTAATAATTTTGATAAGGTACTTAGAAGTGCTTTATTGACTGGAGTTTGTCTTTACCTGTTTGCACACAAACCGAAGACATCCATGAGTGTCACGTTTTCAAACATTAGACAAAGGAAGACCGAAAACGCAATCATTTGAAGAATTAGCAGTATTACATACTTTGTTCACAACACGCGTGTCCTATGAACAAAACGTGTGTCCTAGTATGTAGGGTGACCGTATCAACCTTTGCAACTGGTCCCGTGATTATGAAAAAGACAAAAGAGAAAATGGGAGTTGGTATGCTTAGCGGTTGTATTCATCGCAACGTGTCAGAGTGATGTATTTTTGGATTTCTTCCAAATACTTCTTCAACCCTTAATGTAAGACTTAATTGTTAAGTTGATTTTGATCATAAATATAAAACCTATTTCTCATATTTATCAATTTTTTCTAAATTACCCCTATGGATATTCCATCAACTATAATAAAATAAAAGAGGGAGAGGAAATATTAAGGAAGATGATTATAGTGTTTTAGGAAAAACATGTCATATCTTTTATAATTAACTAACTTACCTAACTTTCTTAATTAAATTAGTTAAATAGGTCTTATATTAAGGACTAAAGGAGTAGTATTTTCCTATGATCCTCAATATTTTTAAATTGGAATTTTGGTGGTTTAAATTTTTTTCCTGCTTATTAAAACATTGACCCCAGCCATCTAATAAGGACTTGAACTCGGGGTTAATATTGCTAAGTTTGATAATTTGGCATTAACACTATGAATTACGTACGTATGCTGATGTTGCTTGATAGCTCACCAGGCAACTAAGGTTGAGGATTGGCCAGGTTGAGACGAAGCAAGTACTTCCTGAGGACGAAATTGGTCATGTAGCTGCCACTGATTCCAATCCAAACATTGCAGTAAGTATATCCCACCTGGGGGGGGGGGGTTATCAGCAAGCACCAGTCATTGCCTAACTATATATGTGTGTATATATGGTTCTGGTTCATTTTGCAAGATCTGTGCCT